GAATGGCTCCTAATTTGACTTAAAACAAAACAAAACAAAACTAAGAGTCTGTGGGATGTTCTTTATGGCAAATGTGTTGCTCTGATTGGTTAGTAAATATAACACTGATTGGCCAGTAGTCAGGCAGGAGGAAGTATAGGCGGGACAAGGAGGAGAAGAATTCTGGGAAGTGGAAGGCTGAGTCAGAGACACTGCTAGCCGCCACCATGACAAGCCGCATGTGAAGATGCCAATAAGCCACGAGCCATGTGGCAAGGTATAGATTTATAGAAATGGGTTAATTTAAGATATAGGAACAGTTAGCAAGAAGCCTGCCACAGCCATACAGTTTGTAAGCAAGATAAGTCTCTGTGTTTACTTGGTTGGGTCTGAGCGGCTATGGGACTGGCGGTGAGAGAGATTTGTCCTGACTGTGGGCCGGGCAAGAAAACTCTAGCTACACTAAGAGGGGGTTGGAGAGATGGGATCAGTGGTTAAGAGCAGTGGCTTGTTCTTTAAGAAGTCATGAGTTCAATTCCCAGCACCCACACAGTGGCTCACATCTGCCTGTATAACTCCAATTCCAGGGGATCTGACACCTCTGGCTTCTGAGAACACCTGTACACATGTGATCAGAACTGTGCATGCATGCACACATATGCACACAATTTAAAAATAAAAATAAACATAACTTTAAAAACTCTAAGAGGAAGGGCAGTGGCAAGACAGTCCGGCAGGTCAAAACACTACCTGCTGCCAAGTCTGTGGAAAAAGTGACTTCTGCAAGCTGTCCTCTGACCTCCACAGGAATCTCTTTCTCTCTCTGGAGTTAATGGTTAAAAACACAGATTTTCTTCTGTACACTCAGAGAAGGCTTGGACATTAATTAAGCCAGTGATACCACCATGCTTTAGCTCCTTGCAAGATGCAGATCCACTAGGTCAGAGGCAAAGCTGCTCACCCGAGGGAACGTGTGCACTCCATACAAAGGCACTCACCCTTCTTCTGTATGAAGATCCTAAGCAATGGGTTGGCGGTGGAAACTGCCTTGTGGTAGTTGTCATCATTGTTGATGGGCAGCAGATCCCCGTGGATGTCTGCATAGCCCACCAGCACGTCAACATTGGGGATCTTGTGAACATGTTGCAGCAGTCCATAAAACTCTTCAAATTTTCCGGGTTTGGATCTTTCCAGTGAAAACCGACGAAACTCAGCACCAAACTACAAATATAACAAACATATTAGAAAATAGAACGTCAGCTGGGCATGATGATGCATTCCTTTAGTCCCACTGGGAGGCAGAGGCAGAGGCAGGAGGATCTCTGTGATTTTGAGGCCAGAGAAAACCCTGCTCTGAACCTCACTGCCAGGAGCAGAGGCCAGAAAGACACAGGAATGTGGCTGCTGCTCCCCCAAGGTGTCCCTGCCAGCAGCTGCTGATTCCCAGGTCTCCCAGGACAGCCCTCCCGGGACAATTCAGCTCCAACTGTGCCTGGAGCCCAGACCAGGGCACCAGAGACATTCACAGACCTAACTTCCCACCACTGCATAGCACCCCTCATAAAAGGGATTATCTTTTCACAGGCCGTAAGAGCCAAATCTAAGTGTAGCAAAAGGACTTTGAGCTTCTTGGCATGAAATAAATGATGTCATCATGTAAGAAATATGTCTAAAGACAGAAAAGAAGCATCTTCCCCAAGTTAGTGTAAAAAAAAGAAAAAGCTTATTAACAAACACATCACCTTTAAATCCTCTTCCATCTGGCTAAGGAGAATGTCTGTGTGTCTGTCCCTGTGCTGGGCTGCAGGGACCAGGAGGCTGGCCTGCTTCAAAAGCTCAGCAATTAGTGGGTGAGGAGACTGATTGCCTCAGGGAGGCTAGAGATCACAGGACCGGCAGGAAGCACCCTCTGTCATTCCCCCATTTACTTTCCAGGTCCCCTAAGGCCACACATTAAAGTGTCTCCTAAGTCCCTGTGCTCTCAAATGGGGAGCCTAAGAAAGGTTCTTCAGCCTTCTTCAAAAAGTGCCTGTCACATAATTTTAACCCTCTCTTTAGGAGTCACTGGGTATACAGCATATTAAATGCTTTGTTAAATGCCAGGGGCGGGGCTGGAGAGATGGCTCAGCAGTTGAGGGCACTAGCTGCTCTTGCAGAGGACTGGGGTTCAGTTCCTAGCACCCTCAGAGTGGCTCACAACCACCTCTAACTCCAGTTCCAGGGGATCTGATGCCTTCTGATCTCCAAGGGCACCAGACACACACGTGGTGCATATATATACATGTAGGCAAAACACTTATAAACAATAAATAGGCAGGGGCAGGAAAGGAGGGAGGAACTTTGGCTCCTGGTGTGTGTGTGTGTGTGTGTTAACAGTGTTATCCTACTGTTAGCTTTTTTTTTTAAATTTGAGGCTGGAGGCATAGCTCAGTGGAAAAGTATGAACTTAGCATGTGCAAGGCTCTCCATCAAGAACCACACACACACACACAAAAATGTGTAAAGTAAACGTTCACCAAACATGTTTGACTGGCAGACGTGTTTTCTGTCTAAATTCCTAGGATATCAGTAAACATGAATGTTCCACAGGAACAGCAGGTACCAGGCAGAGAAAGGCCCGCATCCCAACAGGCATCCATGACCAACACCGACCCAGCCATCCAGTCTTTTCTCCACTTATGGCCGACCTTCCTCTTACATACATTATTCACTACCCACCCGTGGTTTGACATGAAAACAAAATTCACTGCCACTTCTTACTCCTAACAAATTCAAACTTTCCAAAACACATTCCTGAGATAGAAACACTAACATTTGTCAAGAAAAATCAGGTGACTCATATCTAAAGCTCTCAGAAAGTTAGTCACACCTACACATTTCAGAGTAAATAAAACCCAGGAACACCCTTCCTATCAGTCAGTCTTATGATGTTATCAAAGGCAGTTTCTCCTCAGTATTCTGGAGGCTGGGCTCCCAGCACAGCCTCAGTCCACAGGGCAGGCTGACTCACCCCAGGCTATCACCTCCCCTGGAGTCTGAATGGGAATACACCTAATGATTTAACCCTTTAGGATCCCCCAAAGCTTCTGCTGGAAGTTCTTTGTTCAACATCTTCTTCTCTGGCTTAAATACTTATTTAAAAACAGCAGGTGCCCACACCAGCTAATGTTGGCAAAGCAGGAGGTGTGGGGTGTGGGGGATGTGGACATGGGTTACCTCTTGCAGCAAAGTAGGATTATAAAAACTTTTTAGGACATGAAGAAAAATTAGAGATCAAATTAACCCAACCAGCAATTATTCACCATGCAGTTTGGGGGTGGGGTGGAGGGGGTTGGACCAGTTTGCCATGAATCCAGATGTACATGGACTTGTTTCTCAGCATCTGTTGGCATATTCTAGAACTTGGTTCTTTGGAGGGAAGGGGAATGAATAAAGTTCAAGGCTTTAGCTGGCCTTGAACTTACAGTGAGAGCTGAGATGAAGTACTTTGAGAAGTACTGTTAATATTCCATTTGCCCTGAATAGCAATTAGGAAGTTGTATGTCTCACAACTGTCCCAAGGCTGTTTGGGGCAGGTGTCTCGGCTGTGATGGAGATGCAAGCAGGCCCCAGTATGCCAGTCAAGCTCCAGGGCAACTGCTACAACCCCCACCCTCAGGACCAAGGTTACCTAAGGACATCACTGTGTTTACAGAGAACTTTCCCAGTTCTGGAGAAACAATCAGGAAGATAAATCAGTTACCAAAGAAATCACTGGCTTGCTGGTATCACACTTCTAACTAGACCTATATTTACACTATCCATTATTTTTTATTATCTGTACCATGTCTCCCTTTCCAGAGTAAAGGTGATAAAGTTGACACTACTGTTTCTTTCTTTTTCTTTCTTTTTTTTTTTTTCTTTTCTTTTTTCAAGACAAACAGGATTTCTCTGAGTAGCCCTGGCTGCCCTGGAACTAGCTCTGTAGACCAGGCTCCTCTCAAACTCAGAGTTCCACCTGCCTCTGTCTGGGATTAAAGGCACGCGCCACCACTGCCAGGCTGACACTTGTTTCTGTGGAGAAGCCTTCTAGTCATGACCTGCATGCTGTCCCATTTTGGTTACGATCTCTTAATTGTGATGTAAGACTGACACTGGACCAGCAGAATGGCTCAGCAGAGAAAGGTGCTTGCCACTATGTCTGACATATGAATTCGACACCAAGACACACATGGTGGTGAGAACCACTCCCGAAGTTGACCTCTGACCTCTACACTCATACTATGGTACTGGTGAATCGCCATTGACTCATGCACACCAAGTAAGTGATCAAAATGTAATAATTGAATGAATTCTTGCCATTCACATAGCATAAAATGTAATTATTTTTACAAACCTTAGCTATGCTAAAACTTGTGGCACATGCCTTTACACCCAGCAGAGGCAGGCAGACCTCTGTGAGTTCAAGGCCAGTCTGCTCTACATAATGAGTTCCAGAACAACCAGAGCTATGTAGAGAGACCCTGTCTCAAAAACCCCAACAATAGCAACAAAAAAGAGCATGAACTGCTCCTGCAGAGGACCCAGATTAGATCCCATGTATTTCTGGTGGCTCACAAGCTCACTTCAGCTCCAGGGGAACCAACGCCCTCTTCTGGACTCCACAGGCACCTGCACTCGCACGTGCACACGTGTGTGTGTGTGTGTGTGTGTGTGTGTGTGTGTGTGTGTGAGAGAGAGAGAGAGAGATCTTTTTTTTCTTCCCTTTTTTTAAGGTAAAAATACAGAAGTAAATCCCAGAACTTATGAGGCAGAGAGAGTTGGATCTTTGAGTTTGAGACCAGCCTGGTCTGCAGAGTGAGTTCCAGCACAGCGAGGGCTACACAAAGAAACTCTGTTTTTAAAAACCAAGAAACGACAATATAAGGTCCACAGACCTTTGCTTTCATCTACTGACAGGTGGGACAGTGGGACAGCATTTCACCAAGTATCTGTTCTGACTGCCCTGCTGCCCATTAGGAGAGGGCGCTCCCCAGAAGTGCAGGACGGCAGCTGAAATACACACCACATACTTGGGACAGAACTATGTAAAATATTAAAAAATCCGTAGACGGAAAAGAAAAACAAAAAGCCTGAAATTCCAGTCCCCAAGAACTCAGTTTCTGCCCCCAGAGACCCAGTCCTACCTGATTTATTGGCACACCTAGAATCTCTACTCGTTTTTTCCTATGATAAAAAATTCAAGACTCACTACCAAGATGGGACCATAAAACCCGAGTGTTAGCATTATGCAACATCACAAGTGGTTTTCTTTTCCGACCTCAAGTCCCACAAGCCAAACTACAGAAAAAAAAAAAAAATTGCCAGGAGAGAGTTCATGTGCTGGGCCTGCACAGACAGCCTCGACACGGTTAGAGAGAAGATGCACACTTCTGGGGTTACTGTCAGGAGAGAGTTCATGTGCTGGGCCTGCACAGACAGCCTCGACACGGTTAGAGAGAAGATGTTCATGTGCTGGGCCTGACAGACAGCCTCGACACGGTTAGAGAGAAGATGCACACTTCTGGAGTTACTGTCATCCTTCCCTTCACACACGTCACCTCAGTTTGCTATTATGCCATGGAGAGCCCAGCCCAGGACGAGTATGATCCTTAAACTACCATACAGCTTTATTGTTTTTGCAGACCAGGCTGGTCTCCAACTCAGAGATCCACCTGCCTCTGCCTCTGCCTCCCAAGTGCTGGGACTAAAGGCATGCACCACCATGTCCAGCTCAGTTTTATTCTAAAAAACAAAATTCTAAAAAAAATATGTGTACTTGTGTTCTCTGTGCATGTATGCCATACACAGGTGCCCTGGGAGGCTAGACTCTCAGATCTCCTGGACCTAGTGGTTAAAAGCATGGGCTGCTCTTCCAGAGGCTCTGGCTTTGGTTCTCAGCACTCAAAAAGTGGCTCACAACTAGTTAAAACTCCAGATCCAGGAGATCTGACTCCTGGCTTCCTTGAGTACCAGGCATGCAGGTGGTACAGACATACATGCAGGCACTTATAAACATAAAGTAGAAAAAAATTTTAAAATGTACAGGTTCTGGGCTGGAGAGATGGCTGCTTTTCCAAAGGACCTGGGTTTGAGTCCCAACACCCACACGGCAGCTCACAACTGTCTGTAACTCAAGTTCCAGTAGGTCTGACTGCCTCACATAGACATACACACAAGCCAAGTACCAACACACATAAAAA